ATCTCACCCCAGAAAGAATGGCTATCATAAAGAAATCACCCAACAACAAATGCTGGAGAGGCTGTGGGGAAAAAGGAACCCTCCTCCACTGCTGATGGGAATGTAGACTGGTGCAACCATTATGGAAATCAGTATGGAGACTCCTTAGAAAAGTTGGTCTGGAAATCTCCTTTAAACCAGCTATTCCTCTACTGGGAATTCTCCCAGAGGATCTGAAAACATTATATCATAGGGATATATGTGTTCCTATGTTTATAGCAGCACAATTTGTGATAACCAAATCTTGGAAACAACGAAGATGCCCATCACCTGAGGAATGGTTGAAAAAGATGTGGTATTTTTACAAAATGGAGTATTATTCAGCTATTAAGAATGATAAACTCCAAGCCTTTATATTGAAGTGGATGCCACTTGAACATATACTCGTAAGTGAAATAAACCAGACACACATGTGTAAATATCATATAGTCTCCCTAGTATAAGAACTCCAAAGAAGAAATACAAATAGAAAGATTAAAAAAAAAAAAAACACTTGGATCCTCATGTTTCAGCCTCCTATGTAGTTGGAATTACAGGTGTGCACCACCACACCCAGCTCGGTAGATGCAGTTTTTAAAAGGATGAAAAACCACATACATCATCAAGTGTTGTGCCTGATGGGGACACGAGAAATAAGTCCTCAGAGCTCGAAGACCAGAGGTCAGTGCAATGCACACCTCTGATCCCAACACTCTGGAGGCTGAGGCAGGAGGATCACTGGGAGTCTAGGCCAGCCTAGCCTACATAGTGAATTCATTACCAGCCTGAACTACATAGCGAGATCCTGTCTCAATAAAGGAAAAAAAAGAGCTTTGAAATGATGTGGTGCGTATCTATGATCCTAACGCTCTGAGGGGCTGGGGCAGGACGATTGTGAATTCAATTCCAACCTGAGCAAGACCCGGTCTCAAAACTTTAAAAAACAAGTTGTGGGTGTAGCTCAGTGCAAAGGACCTGGGTTCAATCCCTGTTACCTAAAATAAATAAATAAATCAACTTTTAGAACATTTTAGCCATTTTTTTTAACCTTCTATGTCAACAATTGGTTACTATTTTTAGTAATTCTTTAAGAAAGAACAAAATCCACAGGATGGGGCCCCTCCCAGCATTTGCTGGAGGGGCTGCTTAGCTGATTGGTAGGTGTCAGACGTGGCCTCTGGGCTGAGACCTACCTGCCCGTCAGAGGTGGGGCCACCTGGACTTTCTTGATGCCTTCACCCACTTAAGCCTTTGGAAAGGTCCCTGTGGCCAGACTCCGGCAGTCTGCAGAGGGACAGGATTTCAGGTAGCTCTTCCCGTTTCCCAGGAGTGGTAGGGTAGGGTCTGGTCCCTCCTCTGATCTCCCCACTTTTGCTCCCTTCTTTTCAGCCCTGGCAGGTTCCACATCCACCCCTGTCCAGCCTACACCCTCGTCACCCCCTGTACTCCTCAAGTTAGGCACAAGGTCTCAACAGACGAGTACATGGGATCATGTCTTTTGGATAACGAGGCAGATAATCTTTTAGCCAGTTGTTTCCAACATCATTTTCTGAATGCTTGGGCTGGGCCAGACTGAAGAGGTGAGGTCTTCCCAGGAGCGAGTAGTGTTCCTGAGTATGCCGCCCACCAGAAGAGGGCAGCATGGAGTCTCAGGTGTGGGGCCGGGCTCCTGACATCGCTTCCTCACAGGCTGGCTTCCTAACCTGGCTGGCTGGGCGAGTGCCTGAAGGGCTGGCCTTGTCACCATGGGGAAGTGACCTCACTCTGGGAGTTTCAAAGAAGTGTCCCCACCCCCCAGCTGCCCAAGGACCTCATAGCCAGGCTGTTAAGTGAAAGGTTCCACTCGCCAGGGTCTAGGCCAGAAGTGTGGGGACCTAGTCTGACCTGAGATGCCTCTCTAGGCTGGGAGCCTGTTCCCAGCTCTGTGAATGCCACATGTGGCCTCTTGCATAAATATTAGTAAATTTCGCTGGGACTGACATCTGACGCCACTAAACTGCCAGGCTGTGCAGAGGCCAGCAGGGGTCTTTCTAGTCTGAAAAGCAGCTTCTCTGGCATGGAGTGTTGCTGGTGCGTACCAATCCCCTACAGCACCTAGCCCTGTCTCCCTCACTACTGGAAACTTCTGGCTCCTGGCTGTCAAGTGGCTGGAAGGGTGACCTCAACAAATTTTAGCGGGGCTATGTCACAGCTTTATGTCCTCCTCATTGCTAGCCCCTAGAATCCAAGAAATAAGCAAAACCATCCCCACCCTCTAGAGGGCACCCTCAGATAGTCTGCTGGGATAGGAGCAGGTCCCTTCTTGACAGTGCACCTTGGCATATCACTTCTCTCGGAGCACTTGTAAAAGGGACAGTAGCTACTCTGGCCATTACTAGGGCTGGAAGTCCTTTGTACCCTGAGCAGCTCCCAGGGTCCGATTGGGTCCCTGATGGCTTGACCCAGCATGAGATCAGGAGGTCGTACAGCTATGGGGACAGTCAGGAGCCAACCCAGGGCTCATCAGAACTGTTGACAGTAGGATTTGCCTTGGCAGCCCCTTCTCCTATGTACTTCAGCTAGAGGGGCTGTCACCCCACCTCCAGGCTTGAGCTTGAAGCTCCTGAGGAAAGGGCTCCCAACTTCTTCCTGCACCAGCCCCCTGACTAAGCTCCAGGCTAGTGCTTGTCCCATAGACCAGTGAGTCTCCCAGCCTCCCCTGTGACAAAGAGCTGAGGGAAAATAGTGGAGAGTCACTTGGTTTACAGGCCCCTCCTGTCCTCTTCTGAACCCCAAGAGTTTCATTCCTCCTATGGATTTACTTTTTCCCCTGGCAGGTATGTGGAAAGAGGTAGAACATAGGGGTGTTCTACCAGTGAGATTTATCCCCAACCCTATGTGGGTTTTTTTTTTTTTGTTTGTTTGTTTGTTTTGTTTTTGTTTTTTTAGTGCTGGTAATCGAACTCAGGGCCTCATGCTTGACAGGCAGGTGGCTGTGCCACTGAGTTACATCCCAGGCACCCCCTCCTCTAGCCCATTTTTAATTTTTTTTTTTTTTTTGCGGAACCGGAGGTTGAACTCAGGCCCTTGCTCTTGCCAGGGAAGCACTTATTCCACTGAGCCATCTCCCCGGCCCCACCATTTTTAATTAAAAAAAAAAAAATTGAGACACTCTCACTAAATTGCCCAGATGTGAAACTCACTACCTCTTAGTCAAGATTCCTCCTGGGAATCTTCTGCCATTCTCCCAGCCTTTGGTGGGCTCGCTCACAGGACCAGGCAGGGCAGCTGCTCTGGCATGTACAGAGATGTCTGCCCTCTACAGCCAGAATCCTGAATCAGCTCGGCTCTGTCCCTTGTCCACTCTGCCCTTCCGTGGTCTTCTGGCCACACAGGTGGGGACCACTGGGTAACCACCCCCTGGATGCCATCTACTGAAGCTTGTCCTGGGCTCTCAGTTGAACTGCAGAGGGCTTTTTTATTCCTCCAAGTGACCCTGAAGAGCCAGGATCCTGGCTGCACCTTGGGAGGTAGAGGACTTGCCCAGACATGTGGTGGGGGTAAGGCACAGTTGGTTTTAGGCTTTGCTGTCACTGTCCTGAAAATTTTAATACTCTTTGAACAAAGGGACTTATGCTTTTTTTTCCCCCCCAAGAGCTTACTCTACTGCGCTATCTCCCCAGCCCGGGGACCTATGCTTTTACTTGGAAACGACGAGGTTGGGGCGGGGGTGGGGAGTGACGGGGTCATATCCCAGCCGAGAACTTCTCTTCAGCCAGGTGGGGGCGCTGGAAGCACACGGGTCGTCGGGGTCCGCTGAACGTCTCCGCAGCCCCAGCCCCCACCCCGGGAACCCAGGACGAGCTAGCGTCGGCTTCCAGCTCCGATTAAATACTTGAAAGGAAGTGCCTTGTTCGTTTTTTTGTCTTTTTTGATTTTACTGTATTTTTTGGGTTGAATTGGTTTTTAGGGGAGGTTTATTTTTTGCTTTTGGTGCCGAGGACCGAACCCAGGGCTTCCTGCTTGCTAGGCAAGCATTCTACCGCTGAGCCAAATCCCCGGCCTCAGGAAGAGGGTAAATAAAATCAATCCGCAGGCCGGGCCTTGGCCACTCCAGCCGGTCCCTCGTCCCCTGGCTGGTCCCCAGGGTCCGTCCTGCACTTCGCGGACTCCTCTGCTCCCCGATCGCAGCACTCGGACCTCTGCCGATAGCGTTGGGCGGCCCGAGGAGAGCGTCTCAGCTCTGGTCACCCAAGGCTGAATACTGAGGCGAGCTCTTCTCACCCCGCTCTTGCGCTGCCTACTTTAGTGAAGGTCACTATCCCCATTTTACCGAAAGAAAAACAGGCTCGGGGAAAGGAAGGCGCCCCTCCAGGTGCAGCCCGGCGGGTGGCGGGTTTCGCGGGGCGCCCCCGAGAAAGACTGGGCAGCCAGGGCTTGGGAGGAACACGGGGACCTGCGACTCTCCTCCCTAGGATCTCTGAAGAAGCAGGGCTGGATTTCGGGAGCGTGGGGACGGGGTCTGAGCCCTACCATCTCCCCTCTGGGACTGGGACCTGGGACCCAAGGGCGCTTTCCTGGAGCTTCCCAGCACGTGAGTCACCGTGGACAGAGCCGGCTGCGGTGCATGCTTTTTCGAAGCCGGCGCCCGGGCAGGTGGGGAAATCAAGTCACTCCACCGGGCCCAGCAGTTGGGACCTCGGAAGTTTGAGGGGCGCCGAGGGGCGGACCCGGTTGGATCGGGGCAGGGACTCGGCGGGCAGCCTGCGGCGATCACCAGAACTGTGCCGGGCGGGGTGGGCGCGGGGCGGGCCGGGGGCGGGCTGGGGCGGGGCCGCCCAGGGGCCCCACCTCTCGGGCGGGGGGGCATATAAGCGTCGCCCCGGAGCTCGGACCTCACTCTCGTCGCAGAGCCTCTAGAGCATCTCGGCAAGATGAAGACTCCCTACGAAGTGATCCGCGAGGGCCAGCTGGAGAAGCGCAGCGGCAACTTCTTGCGCCTGTGGAAGAAGAAGCGCGGGCTGCTTACCCGCGACCGCCTGCGCCTCTTCTCCAGTCCCGGCGCGGACCCCAAGGAGCTGCGCTTCCATTCCATCCTGAGGATCGACTCCGTGCATCACACCTCGAACTACATCTACTTCACCATCGTCACCGACCGCCGCGATTTCAACTTCCGCTGCACTGGCGAGAGCTCCTGGAATTCGGCCATCACCATGGCTCTCATCGACTTCCAGAACCGCCGTGCTCTGGCTGGCTTCCGCGGCCTGGGGCAGTACAACGACCCCCCGGAGCAATCCGACTCCGACTACGAGGAGCCCGCACCTGGGACCGTCCGCATGTACTGAGCTACCCCTAAGGTGAGTGACGCCCCAAGCCGTCGGCCGGGGTCTCTGGCGCACTCTGGAGGATGCAGGCTATGACCCTCTCGCCGGCATCCTTGGGGAAAATCTCCCATAGCCTTGAAAGCAGTGTTTTTTTTCTTTTTGCGTTACGGGGGATTGATTTCGGGACCTCGCACTTGCCGTCCCAGCCCCTTGGGGACATTTTCGAAAGAGGGCTAGGCGGCGCGAAATGGCAACCTCTGGGGCGCGCGGCAGAGGCTGTCATTTGCCCTCAGGGGACCCACACGCGGCACCTAGATCGTTCCGCACAGCTCGCTGACCCTATCTTCTCTCCACAGATCTCCCTCCGTACCCGTCGGGCCAGGCAAACTTCAAGGCCACGTCGGAGAAGAACCCAGGAGTACCCGAGACATGTAGCCCGGGTGGACCACCAACAAGCTGACCTCAAAACAAGACGACCTCAATCCTTCCCGCTGTGGAAGGGCCACCTTTCGCGCTTGCGCAAGCTCACCGGCTGCGCGGCCCGTTAACTTACCCGACAGTATTTTTTTTCAAGGGCCATTTCTCATACCATTCTGCCTGCACATTTTGTTTTTGCACCACTATCCCATCCCCAATAAACGATTTGATTTCCTTTTACTTACTGGTGTCTGTTGTTCTAGGAGGGTTGGGGACAGGGACACCGGCTTCTAGTAAGAGCCTGGGGCCATTGCAGCCCGGGGTGGGGAGAAAGGGCATGGGCATTTGAATGAACATCTACCATCATAAGCTGGACTAGGTCCACAGCCTCCTCAGAGGCCAGGAAGTGCCCTGGGTGTGGCCTGGCTACCTTCTGCTCCTGGGTATGGCTTGGGGAGGACAGGGATGCTGGGCAGGTCACTGGAGCTAGAGAGGAGGCCAGCACACTTCTCCCAGACTAGAGTTGCCCCCAGAGGAGGTAGTTGATCTCAACTGCACCTCCCCCCCACACCACCTGTCCTGCTGAGGCTGGTAGGTCCCCTGCAAGGCCCACTGTCCCCATGTGCTCTTCTTGACCCCAACCCAGGTTCTAGAGACCAGCTGCCAGACCTGGTCACTGTATTCAGGCCAAGGGGCGAAGCTGGTACTGTCTCCTGTGGCTCGCACAATAGGGATCAGGGGCTGGAAGGCGGGGCTTACCCGCCTCATCCCCCTTCCAGAGCTTGCTGCAGAGGCAGCAACTTCTAGTTCAGGAATCTAGAAAGTTTAGGACAAGACACCAGAGGTGTGTGCCCCTCCCTGGCAAGATTTATTGTTGATGAGCAAATTGAAGACAGTGTTAAGAGGGAGCAGGACACTGGGTGTGTACCTTTGATTCCAGGGCCCTTCTGGCTGGAGGGATGTGGTTTGGGAAACAGAAGCCAGGGCTAATATCCTTCACTTACATTCGACCCAAAGGGGGCAATCATAAGCCTCCTAGCTGGGCCCCAGAGGCCAGGATGGGGACAAGGACTGTCTCTTTAGTGAATAGTCTTAGCCATTGATAGTCCTAGGTGCTGGGTCCAGAGAGGAATTTACTCCTTGTAAGGAATATTCTAGCATATATTTATTTGTGGCACCCCTCTGCAAACGGGAAAGAGCCTCCTCCAAAGGGCAGAAAAGACTGGCCAGGGTCTGACCTACCCAGCCTCGTACACAGAATCCCACGTAGACAAATGACCAAGGTCAAGAAGCAAGCCCCTGCTCCTGGTGGGATTCAGGGAGACACAGGGCCTGAGCTGGGGTCTTAAGCCAGAAGCACGGATGGAGCTTAGCTCCCCGGGGTGCCTCCCAGTTTGGGGACAAGAGAATTCTGAGGCTTAGGGGTTCCAAGGTTTAATAGTTTCTTTTTCCGGTACCGGTGATTCAACTCAGGACCTTGTGCTTGCCAGGCAGGTGCTTATGCTGATGAGCTATCCTCCCCACCCCCGCCCTTGTCAAAGAACCAAATCTTCAATTCATTAATCCTTTTAATCATTTTCTTAGTTTCCATTACATTAATTTCTGCTTTGGTCTTTTTAAAATTTCCTCCCTTAGGAGCTTTCATGTTGACTTGCTCTTTTTTTATTATTTATTTATTTATTTGTTTGTTTGTTTGTTTTGTGACCAGCTCAGCAAGCGCTGGGGGCAGGGCTGGCACAGCATGTGGTTCGGGGATCGGACTGGAATCACAGTCCCTGGGCTTACCTAAGCCGGTCTTTAGACTGCTGAGCTATCTCGCCCACCCTCCCCCACCCTTCTAATAACTTTTTTCAAAGGAAGTCAGCGTGGAGTAGAGGGTCTGCATGATGTCAGGGCATCAGAAGCTCCTACAGCTCCTGTCCATTGGCTGGTTCTCTCCAGAGTGGCCCTGTGGTCTACACACCCAGTCTGACAAACCCAGGCCCGAGCCTCTTCTCCAGGAAGCCCAGGGCTGGTGTGGGGGGAGGGGCTGGAGTTGCTCTCCCGGCTCACAGATCTTGTTGCTTTCCTGGCTCAGGCAGGGCTGGTAACCAGGGCTGCCCAAGAGCGAGCATCATGGGAAATGGGCCAAGGCAGCATCCTCAGTGTAGTTCTGGGGCTGGAGGGACTTGAGGTGTAATTGCTGGGTTCCCCCAAACCTCTGCTCTTCAAGCCTTGCTTCCCTGATCTTTTAAATCAACCTGCATGTGCTTATGGGTAGGGCATACTGTGACCTGGGGGTTGGCAGCAGGAGGGTGTCGCCAGGGCCGTGTGTTAGCAGATCTGTTTAGGGCAGCAGGGGATTTCATCACTGACCCAGTTGGAGGACTCAAGGGCTGACTAAAGACCTGGGAAGAACTGCGGTAGTTCTGTCTTCCCTAGAGCACTGGGCCCCAACTGCAGGCCTCCTCCTCCAGGAAGCCCTCCAGTCTGAAAGCTCCATCCCTCAGCCCCAGGTTTCCTTCCAAAAGATAGGTGGAGCCTGGAGACATCAGGTCAGATACCATCTCAAAGGATTTATTGCCCATCTGTGCCCAGGTATCGTGGTCATCGAGCTTTGTCCTTCTTGTGGGATATAGGCTTCCTCCAGAGGAACAGGAAGATGAAGAAATTGACAGCAAATTGCATATGGCCGAAGATGGGGACACCAAAGCTTCGGTATAGCAGGCCACCTATCGTAGGCCCCACGGTGCGGGTCAGCGGTTGCACAGAGGCACAGAGGCCCAGCATGGTCCCTGGGGGAAGGTGGTGAGAGTCAAGCGCCCACTGTCTAGACAGCCTGGCCTCCCTTTCTTGTCCCAACCACACCCCCACATCCCAGTGTTTGCATTTCCTGGTTGGTATGAGATAACCCCTGAAGCACCCCACCTTCCCACTGTTTCTCACCTTGTGTACTACCCCTGCCTTTGGGGGATCCCTCTACCCACAGGTCCTTGAGGACCACTCAGCCACATAGAGGACCCTACAGTGTGCTTCCCCGGCTGGAAGGCTGAGCTTCTTGCTTCTTCCCTGCTCCAGAAAGTTCCCAAGCATGGGAGGAGCCTGAGAAGGGGCCACAGGTCAGGGGTTAGGCCCCACTCTTCCAGGCCTGCCAGGGAGATGGTCTCCGCACCTGGGGCCAGCATCTGCCTGCCTAGGACATCCGGGGAGGTGGCTCATGGCTTCTTCCCAGAGCCTGCTGTGCTGTGGACTCAAGGGCTGGAGAGCTATCAGGCCTGGCCCACTGGTCCCAGGAGGACAGGGAAGGTCTGGCTGGGCAGTTCTGTGAGCCACTGTGGGACCCTGGGTTTGGTTCTAGGCAGGCACAACACCCTCAGTGCCACCCCACAACCTCTCCTGGCCTCTCCTCTAGCCATCTTTGCCCCAGGGGTATGGACCTAATGAGCACCTCAGAAGACAGGGGAGAGGGCTCAGGGAGCACAGGAAGGGTTCCCCACTTGCCTTGCTTGTAGCTCCAGAGAGAATGTGCCCCCTCTCTGGCTCATCTGAATGTGGACGCCCACTTAAGCTTGTGAGCGGCTGGCTTGATGGCCCAGGTCTGCACACCTCTGGCCAGCTTTCTCAGGGTTGACTTGCCTATGTGTGGCTGGCTGGTGTCAACCTCTGGACAGCATGGGGGGCAGCATTCACTAAGCCAAAGCCCCCTCTGCTAGGTCCCCAGATGGGAAGAAGCCCTTTGCCTGATCCCAACATTCCCAAGATCTGTTCCCCATGGACCGTGAGGTCTCTCTGTCTCTCAGGCTCTTTAGAGCTTAACAGGGACAAGGACCTGAGAGGCCCTGCCCACACTCAGGGCCTGTGTGGGGAAACATAGGAGCAGCCTTTCCTATTGCCCACAAGCCTGCAGCCATGGGCAATTACCGCCTCCTCTGTGGCTCTGCGTCCCAGGCTACTGCCCAGCCAGGTATTTCTCCTTGCCCCTCTACTCCACGCTGACTTCCTTTGGAAAAAGTTGTTAGAAGGGCAGGAAAGGAGAGTGTCTATGGTGTGACTGGCCCTGGTGCCCTGGCTTGCTCCTCCCCACCAGACCTAGCCTTCACCCTTAAGGCCTTAAGCCTCTCTTCCTCCACCTGGTCTTTCCAAAGTGCGGGCTCCCTCCTCCGGGAAGCCTTTTGCACCCAGCCATCTGGAGATGGGCTGTCTTAGCACCATGGCATCGCAATCCTGGAAGGACCTGAGGGCACCAGCAGCCTTGAGGAGAGACCTGCCCCTTCCTGCCCCTCCTGGATGGCAGGTGGACAAAAGGAAAGCCTGACCTCCTGAGTGTTCTGGCCCTGCTGATGGAGGCCTGAACAAGCCCAGAGTCCCTTGGCCTTGGGCAACCTTCAGGAGCTCCCAACTCAGGAGCACCTGAGCCTTGCCTTGGATAAAGAGGAAGCAGGATCAGGGCACCCTGAGTCTGGCTGGGGGGCTCTCCTCAGCCTCCAGAAAGCTGGGAAGTCCTAAGTCTGCCAGGCACTGTGTCCTCGAGGTACTGTGTCCTCAGGCACTCACTGTGGGAGCCCTGAGCACTTGCTAGAGTGGGGGAGGGGAAGGCCATGCTGCTCCCCATCCGGCCTTGCCTGGCCCATTTCTCTGTCCTCCTAACTGGCCTTAGCAGGACCCCTTACATCCACAGCTATACTCAGTGGGGCCTGCCTGGAATGATATCCTGCTCTCCTCCTTTAGCAAAATCCTACCCACATGTCACAGCCAAGCTCCACTCCAATCCTCAGCGTCCTTCTCCACTGCCCTATCTGGTCCTGGACGGGTCATCATGGCCTGGATGCATCCCTGCCCACCACCCAGCCTCTATGCATCCACTGGGCAGCTCAGTGGAATCCCAGAGAGGAGGATGTGGCGCTCACCTGTGTCTGAGGCTGAGACAGCCTTGGTCAGCATGCTGTCGGTGGTCACATTGAGAGCGCAGATACTGAACACCAAGCCGGGCATCAAGAAGCAGAAGTGGACAATGCTGGTCATTAGTGCCTGGCAGGAGGGCAAGAAGCAGAGTCACAGTTGGCAGGGGCCGCCCAGGGCCAGAAGGGGCCCCACCCAGAAGCCCCATCGTTCCCTTCCACCATGGCCACTGCTGCTGGTGCATGGAGAAGTAGGGGTGTACAGCCCTAGCGCAGAGTACTCACCATAGCCAATCCCACCACGACAAAGACCAGTATGCTAGCTCGGAGCAGCGCTTCCTCTGAGAAATTTCGGCTCAGTCGCCCGATGACCAGTCCCTGGATTACCTAGGTACAGTGAGAGGATGAGGTGTCTGTGACACTGTGTGGGGCCTGGACTATGACCTGCTCTTTCACAGTGGCCGGGACTTTTCTCCACAGAGAGTAACCCACCACCCACAGCCCCAACAGGAGCTGAGTCCAGGCAGAAGGCTCAGTTCTCCAGAGGGTAGAAAGAAAGTCCACATGGAGGACCCCCAGGGACACAGGGTCATGACTCAGCAGGACACCCTTCAGCCACTCCCAGGCTAGGGCAAGTCTTCCTATCTGGTCATCTCACCTCTACCAGGCAGGAAGTGCCCAGGGCCAAAGCCCAGGAGAGAAATGGCAGCCACCAGCTTGGGGTGGAAGAGGTGGCTAGGATCAGGGTCTGCCGAGGCAGAGCTCACGCGGGGCAGGCCCAGCCCTGCAAAACCTGCCTAGCCACTCTCTCCACTTCTGCCTAGTGTAACCCACTATTGTCAATGGGAATCCACTTCCACAAAGAATCTTCGGAGCTGAGTGTGGTGGCGCATGCCACCCGTATCAGCACTGGGTAGGCTGAGGCAAGAGGATTGCTGTGAGTTTGAGCTTGAACTATGGAGTAAGTTTAAGGCCAGATTGAGCTACACAGCATGAACCTGTCCCCCGAAAAAACAAAGGCAAAAAATCTAAAAACCTTCAAAATAAGAAAGAAAGAAAGGAAAAAGAAAAGAGAGAAAAAAGAAGGAAAAGAAAAATCCTTAGATGTACTTAGTAGTATACACCTGTAATCCTAGCACTCTGGGAGACTCAGACTGGAGAACTGCAAATTTGAGCTTAGCTCTGCAAGACTGTCTCAAAAATAAAAATAAAATAAAATAAAAAATAAATTGGGGGATTTTTTTTTTTTTTAGGTCAGTGTGAAGATCCTAAAGTTCAATCCCCAGTACTAGGGGAAAATATTCTACTTTCATATTTAACCTTTATCTTATGTTTGTATTTGTTTTTTAGATTTTTGTCTGTTTGTCTTAAAGACAGCTCAGACTAGCTTCAAATTCACAGCATTCTCCTGCTTCTGCCTCCTGGGCGCTGGGGTTCAGGTGTGTGCCACAGCACTTAGCACCGTTTTGTTTTTTTAAACATAGTGCAGTGTACTGTTGCAAGGAACAAGTGTCAAGAGCCTAATCCCAGATGGAGCTGCACCTCAATTCTCCATTAGCTGAGGCTGGGGAGGTAGCTCAGTAGAATAAGCACTTGCCTGGCAAGCACAGGGTCCTGAGTTCAATCCCCCGGTACCGCAAAAAAAAAAAAAAAAAAAAAAAAAAGCCAAAACAAAACAAAAAAACAACTGAGAAAAAGCATCCAAGAGCTCGAAACTGAAGGTGCCTAATAGGCCAGGTGGGTCTTTTTCTTGCACTCTCCCCATGATCCCCTCCACCTGCACCTAAAGCTCACCCAGCCTGAAGACAGCCCTGCCTCGGCACCTGCCCCTCCTCTGCAAAGCAGCCCAGGCCAGAGGAGTCATTTTCTCCAAGCTATCTACCCCCTGAGGAAACCGGCACACAGGTCTTATTTATTCAGATCTGCTAACTGCAGGGCCTTTGCACTTGTCCCCAGCCCCCTAGCTGGTGTCTCTAGGGCTCTCTTACTCTACCTCAACTGCCCTACCTAAAGCAGCACCTCTGAACCTGTGGCCTGACACAGTGTGGGGTGGGACATGTCCCTCCCCATCCCCAAAGCCCCACTTAGCACTCCTGTACCTCTGTGCTGCCCCAACTAGTACTTTGTGAATGACTGGTGTCCAAGGACAGCCAGGGGTGAGAGCAGGTGGCTGGGCCACCATGGGTCTCTGTCCAAAGGTCTCTGAAGGAGCAGAGGTCTGTGAGCCTGCGTGGGGGAGCATGCAGGAGCATGTCACCTTTTCCTTACCTGACTATCTGCACGCCACTCCCCTTGCCTAGCTGGAGCCTAGGTGGGAATGTAGCTGGGAATGTGGCTGGGGCAGCAGCACCTGGAGTGGGGAAGGAGAAAAGATTTCCCGGGAGAGATAGGCGCAAGAGTTGGAGGTCAGTTCTCAGGGCATGTTCTACTCTTAGCAATACTGGAGACTGAATCCGGGGCCTTTGTACACCTTTAGCCTTTTTTATAATTGTTATTATTTTTATTTTTAGTTAGAGAGAAGGTGTCACAAAGTTGCCTAGGCTGGGCTGGAACTTGAGATCCTCCTGGATCAGCCCCCCACCCCCCCAGGAGTGCTAGGATTACAGGCATGCAGCACCATGCCCAGCTAAACTCTTGGGCTCCTTCAGTGACAACCTCTTTGTTATAAATTTTTGTTTTGAGTTTATGTATTTGGTACAGGGTCTCACTATGCAGCGTGGACTCATAGTAATCCTCCTGTCTCAGCCTCCCCAGTGCTGGGATTACAGGTATGCACCACCATACCCAGTTTCGGGGGCCAGAAAGGCATGAGGTATTGGGGATCAAATCCTGGTCCTTGTACTTGCCAGGCAAGTACTTAGGCCACTGAGTTATCTCCCCTGCCCATATTTATTTAATTAATTAATTAATTTGTTAAATAAATAATAAATTAATATTTATTTATTTGTTACAGAGTCTCACTATGCAGTTTGGATCCTCCCATCTCAGCCTCCCCAGCAGTGGGGCCACTGAGCTATCTCCCCAGCCCAACGACCTCTGTCTTGGGGGGTGGGGAAGTGCCTGGTGAAGGATGTCTTCAGGTTTTCTCCCTGCAGACACAAAACCCACGCTCAGACCCGCTCCCTGTGCCTACAGACAGAGACCAGGACATGTGCTGCTCCTCTGGGGGCTCCCTCCCCAGCCAGCCTTCTCTCCCCGCTCCAGCCTGTGCTAGGGGCTCCGGGCCTGGCTCTGTACTTTTTTCCATCCCTGTGCGGCTCTCCCATCCTCCCATAGTCACAAGGCTGTAGCCTCAGGCAACCGCCCAGGCTCCAACGTTCCCCAGCACTGGCCAGGAACTTCCAATTCTTATCCCCGAGCAACTGCAGATTCCAGTCGCTACAGGCTAGTGAGGCTTGGCTCCTGAGAGTCTGGAAACAACCTGTTTTAAAAGAAATTCCAATGACCACCAACCTGCTTTATTGGTTTCACTACTGTAACTGTGTATCTCTTTTTCAAACCAGAGCAGCGCCTTTAGGCTGGTCTCAGAGCAGAGTCTCTGTTCATCCACAGCAAAGATCGGCCCCTCCCACAATGGCTGTTTGAGCACAGGGGTAGAAGCCAGGCTTGAACTCAGAGGCACAGGGAGCAGCAGATGGCTAGGAGGCGCCAGGAATGTCACAAGTTTCCAGAGGACTCAGAGCCTCTCCCCTGCTGGCCCAAGAATAGCCATAGCCCTTCCTGTGCCGGTTGTCAGGCAGACGGCCTAGCCCTGGCAGCACGTCCCCACCAGTCTACAGCACACCAGGGTCTGGTCAGATGCCCAGGAGAGGCTGAGGTGGAGCAGGCTTGGGCAGGACTGACCCTGGGCTGCAAGCCGGGGGTTCTGGGGGACTGGCAGAGAAGGTGCTGCTCTCACCACCACCTCTAACTGCTCCACAGGTGCCTTATAGGCCCAGCCTGTCAGAAAAGCTTGGCGGTGTGTGGAGACAGCCTGAGAGCACAGTGAGCACATCTCAGTTCAGGGAGATCCTGTGCTACTCAGCACGTTGCCATTTTAGTTTATTGCATTTGACCTGCAGCCCCCGCGGTGGGCACTATGGCTAGCTGCATTTGACTGAAGAAAAGGAGACATGAGGCTGGCGAGCTAGCTCAGCAGACTAGCTCAGCAGACTAAGTACCTGCTTGGGTGAGCACAGGGATGGGGATTTGATCCCTGGCACCACATGCTGAGCTGGCCCTGCTCTCCAGTGGGCTGAGGCGGCCACCAAGACAAGGCGTGGTGGCGCATGCCTGTAATCCCAGTGCTGGGAAGGCTGAAAACAGGAAGATCACTACGAGTCCGAGCTGCATAATAAGCCCCTGCACCAAATATATATATTTAAAGAAAGAAAAGCAAGCAAACAAACAAACAAGCAAGCAAGCAAGAAAAAAAGACAGAAGGAAGGAAGGAAGGAAGGAAGGAAGGAAGGAAGGAAGGAAGGAAGGAAAGAAGGAAAGAAAGAAAGAAAGAAAGAAAGAAAGAAAGAAAGAAAGAAAGAAAGAAAGAAAGAAAGAAAGACTTGAAGAGGTTATGAAACCTGCTCCGGTCACAAGGCTGGGGCCCAGGGGCAGAATGCAGATACCCCCACAGCAGCCACCCCTGGGGTGTGCAGTCCCTTGTCCCTCCCTGCCCTGTCCACTGCTTAGTATCCAGAGTGCACAGGGCCAACCAGAGACCCTGATATACTGCCAAGTGCTGTGAGGGCCTCCCGGCCCAACAGGACGCCAGGTGGATGGTGTCAGTGCATGGGCCTGGGGCAAGCGGCAACCTGAGCCCAGATGCACACTGGGAGTTGAGTCCCCAGGCAGGGTGAGTCAGGGTGGAGGGGCAGGGGATCTGAGGGAGCGGCGGGGAGGATGAACGTTCTGATTCGGAGGGGCCAAGTGTGCAGATACTGCAGGTGTTTTTTGGGGGGGGGGCAGCCGAGGTCTTTCCAGGAAACCAAGTTGGTCGGGCCCCAAGCTCTTCTTGTATGACTGTCCTGCCCCTGCCCAGCCCGGGCCAGAGCCCCAGCTCACCATCTGGAGGATCCCAAAGAAGGACATGAGGTAGCCAGCCTGAGCAGCCTCCAGCTGGAAGAAGTCCATGGAGATGATGGAGAACATGATCATGAAGAGTCCTGAGCAGAGGGGGCAGTGAGGGACATGGTGGGTGTCCCCACACCCCTGCCCCAGTGCTATCTCCTTCTGCCTTCTGGGTATCGGGGACCTTGGCCAGTGGCTGGGCCAATGAGACTCTGCTCTGGGATTCCACTGGGTCCCTGGCATGGAGAGTGGCTCCCCAGGGACTGCTCAGCTATAGACTGTGGGCTGGAAGGGAGACCTAGGCTAGCCACGTGGGAGCACCTGACCTCAAGACCCACCACAGCCTCCTAGTCCTAAGAGTCTACAAAAGCCCCTTTCATGCAAGTGGAGGCTTGGGTTCCAGTTACTGTAACTAATGCCCTGGATGGGACAGGTGGGACAACGACAAGCTGCTTCCAGTGGGTAGGGCCTGGCTAGGGTGGGCACTACCCTCCTGTCCATCTCCTGCCCTCCTGGGCTTCAGCGCCAGTTTGCGGAAGCTGTTGCAGAAATTGCTGCTTAGCTTAGGCTGGATCGGCCCTGTTGAAGGTGATCTCACCGAAGTGCCTGCTGGAGGACCCAGAAGGGCTTCTCAGGGGCAGCATTGCCACTGGGCATACAGATGGCTGAGTGGACTCATCACTCAGCCCCTGTGGTCAATGGAGGGGCATGGGGCTGTGTGTCCCCCCCGCTAGATGCCTGGGGCAAAGGAGGTCTCTGGAAGGCACGGCACTCTCAGGCTTCCTGCCTGGCTCTCTGCCTGACCAACAGCATGTAGAAACCAAAGGCGGTGGGTAGTCAGAACTGAATGTTAGGGCCGGGGACATCAGTAGCATAAGTGCCTGCCTGGCAAGCACAAGGTCCTAAGTTTGATCTCTGATACCACAATTAAAAAAAAAAAAGAACTGGATGTTAAGTGGAGGTGGGGCAGAGGGGCACTTTGAGCATGTGGCCCCTCCTTGGTTCTCCGGGGCTGTGACCTGGAGGGGCTGCAGGAATGCAGGGAGGATACCTGCCTTTCCCTCCTCTGCCCCAGCTGAGTCAGCACACTCTCTGGTGGCCCTCATGGGGCAGATGTGTTCAACTGTAGTGTGGGTGAGGCTGGGTGATGACAGCTTGGAGCACGGGTGCGGGCAGAGCGAAGGCACAATGGCCACAGACCTCCTCCTCAGGCACCATGCCCTGGGTGCCCTCAGGGAGGATAGTCCGAACTCACCCATTGGGAAGCCAGAGGCCACCTTCACAAAGAACACGGGCAGGACACCGGGTAGCAACAGTAGGCGGGTGATGGCCTTCAGGTCGAACACGCTGGGCTTGGGTGCACCTGAGCCACCAAGGGACAAGTCAGAACAGAGGGTGGCCCTGGCCTGGCCTGGCCTGAGCGCTAGAGCTCTTGGGCCCTCTGGCCAGAAAGGGAGCTGAGCATATTCTACAGCCTCATCCTCTAGCAGGGGCCTGGGGCATTTTGTCACATTCCTACCAACCCCAGTGACCCCTGAATTCTGCAAGGAGCTCAGGAGACACTGAGTGAGCTCTCAGGTAAACTAGACCTGGCCCAAGTTGGGAAGTCCTCAGTCCCCCAACCTGTGTGACCAGGGCAGCTACTCCCAGCCCAGCGGAGCCAGGGACAAGGACGGGTCACAAGGGTGACTATGCCCAGCAAAGCATGCACTGGGGCCTGGATTCTTCCCAGAGCTGTGTCCCAGGCCTCCCTGCGGTGCTTGCTGAGCCCCCTCCTCTGGCCCCTCCTCCAGGGCTCCTCTCTGGCCTTCACAGGCTCTGCTCCCACCCCCAGGTCTAGTCCCGCCTCTCTCTGGACCCTTCCATCCTGGCTTCCTGTTCCAGATGGCTCTTGGGTTAGGGTCCTCCCACCTCTTTAGGCTCTCAGCCACAGGATCCTGCCATCAAACATTGTCTTAGTGGGGACCACAGTGAGGAGTTCCCTTGCTCATTCTGCCCTTGCTCTGGCCCCCAGGTCTGCACATGCTCTCTGACCAGCACCTCCCATCACACTAGACTGTCAGAGCCTCAGCAATTGTTTGGCCCACCCTGCCCTGGGCTGTGTACTTCCTGGCCTTCCCAGGCCTTTCTTGTCCTGTGCCTAAGGCCTCCCTGGCTGGGACCTCCACCATTGGTTGGTGTGATCTCCACAGCCACACCCAGCTCAGCTACTCAAGTGTTGGCATCAAGGTCTTGAGGGAGGCAAGAAGGTTGAGTGGCTCCCAACTGGGTGCCACAGTTCCTGTGCCTTGAGGCTGGAGCATACCCTGCTCAGCAGATGGTCAGGAAGGTGCCCCCCAGTGGCCTTCCCTCCCCAGGTGAATCTGGCGAGGTTACCTGGCTGAGTAGACTGGGCACCAACACTGGCCCCTTTGGTGCTGTCAGGGATGCAGGTGTAGCTGAGGATGGCTCCCAGGAGGTTAGCCATGGAAGCCACAACGACCGGACAGTGAAGCCTGCAGGAAGAACCTGACATGGGTCCCCGGGTACAAGCCTCAGCTTCCAGAGGTGTTCAGTCCCAGCTAACCAGGTCACCCTGAGACTCTCAGGACACATTGATTAGGTGACAGACAAAGGAATGGATGAGCGCTGGCCTCTCTGGCACTCTCCCAGCCTCTGAATGCTGAGATGACAGAACCTGAGACTATGAGCAGTGGGAGGGACCCAGGGCTGGGAGGGACACCTTCCCAGGGCCAGGGCAAACCCCAAAAGAAGCTTGGGGTTTGTGGCTCTGGGGAAGGACTTTGGAGACCAGGAAGTTGACAGCATCACAGGAGGGTCCCATGGCCCCTCACCAGCAACAAAAGGTGGGCACTTAGGAGGTCCCTGAGCAACCCCCACCCCCTTCTCCCACATAATGGGCTGACATACTGGGCCTGGTGATTCAGAGCCTCCGAGTCCTCTGACGAATCCTGCAGGCCGCCTTCCCTCCTGCCTATGATGCTGTCCCCTCTTCGCTCTTCGGAGAAGGTGCTTCCCACCAGGAGTCACCAAACAGCTCTGACTCTCCAAGAGCAGGCCTTGTGCCCTGGGAACATGGACACTTGGAGCTGGCCTTCTCACCCTCACCATGGCTTCTAGGGACCAGGCCCACCCAGTCTGGACAGGAGCAGAATAGGCACAGTGAGCCAGGCTGAGGCCCTAGGAAGGAACTTCTTCCTCCTATCTACCCTGGCAAGGATCCTGTTCAATGAGGCCCTGGCCTCTTTCCTCCGCTTGCCCCCAGACCTCTGCAGGGGAACTCACTTTACAGAAGGGTCCTGTGGGCAGGTGGGTCTAAGCCAGACTCTGCATGGGAGGGCTGTTCGCATGGCCAGCCCAAGACCTGTCCCAAACCTCATCAGCATCCCCACATCTGCCCTGATCTGAACCCTAAGGCACAGACTTAGTGGGGTCAGGATCCCTGTAGTGCCCTTGAACTCCCAAACAAGGTGATCCATGAGCTGCCAGTGCCTCTACAGGGGGTTAACTTTCTCCTCACGGCTGTACACATATACAAGTGCACACCACACATGGACACATACATACCCCTTTGTCACAGTTCTGACTGAAACCTATGCATGGGAGGCTACCAGAACAGAGGCCAGGCCTCGTCCAACCCTGCCTTCTCAGCTGGGATTGCTAGGCTCCCATGGTCAGTGAGAGGGGTGCTCTGTGTCCATCTGCTGTCCACACACACACACCCAGGGCAACTCTGCCTCCACGCCGGCTATCCAGGACATTGGGCATCTGGACATCCAGTGCCAGAGTTCTTCAGTGATGTGCTTTTCCACTAGCTGGTAGGCACGGAGGGCCAGAGGGCACTGGACCTGAGTGAGGCCTCTGGGGCCTCAGGGGCTACAGGAAGTGATGTAAAACAAGGAGACCCCACTCCCATGACTGGCCCCAGAGAGAAAGGCTTTTCTTCTGGACTCTGGACTCTGTAGCGCAGACGCCACTGCTCAGAACTGGCAAGACAGAGACAAAACCTGCTTTCTCTGCCAGATGACCCGGAAGCACCAAGAGCAGAGGCAGCCACTCTGACGGCTATTTTGGGAAGCTGGTGACAAGTGAGGGTAGGTGGCAGGGAGCCAGGCCCTTGCTCCTTGGATCTTGCCTGTCCCTTCAATGGTGGTCAGCAAACCTGGAGCCAGTGCTGCTCTGGGAAAGCTGGGTAGTAGGGACAGGGGACCCTGGAGGGACTAGGGATGGCCAAGCTCACAGCTCCCTCAGAACTGAAGTCAGCTGCTGCCTGGGGAAGCTGGCATCACTCCTCAGCCCAGCAGAATGACATGCCCGACAAGGAACCAGAACACAAGGGGAATTTTCACATAGGCCAGCTTCCACCTGGGGCCTGTGTGTGCACTCTTGCCTTCTAGGAACGCTCCTCCAGTTCTGTGTCTCACTGCACAGCATGGTGTCTCCCCAGAGGACTTTGGGTCAATGCACCAGGGACCCACCAGGTACAGGGTGACACCAGATGACACACCAGGTATGCCTAGCTTTCCTTGGCTCATTCTAGACTTTTCTATAAATTGAGCTTTGGTGATGTACTCCTACCCCCTTCTGTTGTTTGAATAGGACAGGCCCCGGGGAACCCGGTCCCTCTTCCTTCTCTGGCTACTCTGCCGGGTGACCTCATTTCCACAGTCCTTCCCTCCCTTCCGGAACACCCTTGCCATCCTGGAGTCCAGCCAGCCTTGTATCCTGCCCACCAGCTGCCCAGGAAAGGCCTCCGGCACCTGTAGCCACACCTCAGGCAAACAGCAGTGGCAGTGACGGCTGCCTGTCATCTTTATCTCCAAGGCCCAGTCTGTGACACCCTCAGTGGGGTGGCAGGCTGCCTTGGGCCTCCTCCACTTAGACTTGGCTTCTGTCCCTTTGCCTAACCAGGTCTGGGCTCCTGCCCAGCTCTTGGGTGATTGTTCCTCACCAAACTGGCCCCTTTTCCACTACCTGAGAGGGCATAGCAGTCTTGGAGATGCTGGCCGCCAGTAGCCAATCCACAAGTATATCAAGGGCCTCCCAGCTGTGCGCCCCTTTTCTGTCCAATAGAAAGATGGCATGGGGTTTCATGGGACCCTAGCTACATAGGACCCATGGCATTCAAGGATCAAGAGTAGCAGACTCCAAAAGCCACTGGAGGGGCCGGGGAGATGGCTCAGTGGAATAAGCACTTCTCTGGCAAGCGCAAGGGCCTGAGTTCAATCCCCAGTTCCATTAAAAAAAAAAAAAAAAAAAAGCCACTGGACATCCAGCCTGGGGACAGGAGAAGTCACCTTGCCTCCCCAGCCCACACTCTACAGTGAAGGAGTTAGAATCAAGTCTGAAATCCAGGGGCCGCTCCTAACAGTCCCTCCAGTTTCCGGGGCTCGAAGGCCTTTCTGCCCAGCCTTTCACAACCCAAGTGCCTTCCCAGTCTTTAGTCCCCCAACTACACAGGCCTCTATCTGAGCTGCCATCTCTCTCCTGCCATAGACTCCAAACAGGCTTTTCCCTCGGCCTGCAGCACTGCCCACCAGCTTTAGGCTATCCCGTCCCCACCCCACCCTGTCCCTGGGCCTCCTGTATTGTCTCTGTTTCTCAGCACTCAGAATGACTGTGTCTCTGTTCTCCCCCACGCCACACAGTGGTACAGGGGCTGCGTGCAGAGCAGGCTATCCAGCTGGCCCATACTTGCTCCTGTTTCAAATTCCTGCCCAGGGGGACTGGAATGTTCTCATTGATCTCAAGGGGGAATGTGGGGGGGCATGTCTATTGAGGCTGGGGCGGGAGGGTTTCTGTGCATTTGAAGCTAGCCTGCACTGTGTAGAGACTCTGATTCCAGTAACTCAAAGGAACAAGGAAGAAAAGGGAGAAACAAATCCCCAAAACCCTCCAGGTGAAGAGATAGTGAAGGCCTGTGATAAGATCCAAGTCTTGAGAAACTCCTGTCCTGTGGCCTCAGGAACCAGGCAAAAGTGTTGTGAGTCACGCTACAGTGTAGATTAGGACCGGAGCTCTCAAATTAGGCCCTCAATTCTCAAATTCTCTTCAGGCCTGTGGTATCTGTTCCAATCTCAGGCATTCTGGGTAGTCAGAGCCCTCCGGGGCCTGAGTGCTGGAAGAGCTGGGCCTGTGACTCTAGCCTCACAGAGGGTAAAAGTGGGACTTTCCAACTCTGACTCCGGGCCTCAGAGAATCTCCCCACCTCACAGGCTCCCCTGAGCTTCAGTGCCTCACCAGTCCAACCTCCTTGGGTCTGGCTGGTCCAAGTACCAAGCAACCTGCGTAGGACAGGGGCTATAAGCCACATGCAAATAAGCGGGTAACGTGTTGCACCCTTAGAACATATTTACAGGCAGGCGACACCTTGGGCTTGGCCGGGGGGCCATAGTGGGCCCATGCTCCATTCATGCCGTTACTACTGACACAGCTGAGGTTCTTTTCCTTTGATTTGCTCTCGCTTTCTTTTCCTTCCCCTTTCCTCTCTTCCCTCTCCTTTTTCTCTTTTCCTTCCTTCCCGTTTTCTCTCCCTTCTTCTTCCTTCACTCATTCCTTCCTCCTTTCCCTTCTCACCTCACCTCTCCCTCCTCTCTTCCCTTCTGCACTTTCTCTCCCACTATCCTCTCTTTATCTTTCTTTTTCACTACTAGGGATTGAATTTAGGGCTTTCGCACTGAGAGGTGGGATATACCTCAGCCCTTTTCTTTCTTTCTTTCTTCTTTTCTTTTTTTTCTTTCTTTCTTTTTTTTTTTTTTTTTCCCCAGAACTGGGGATTGAACTCAGGCCAGGGAAGTGCTTATTCCACTGAGCCATCTCCCCGACCCCCCCTTTTCCATTTTGTGAATAAAGATCTCACTAAATCCCTGGGCTTGAACTTGTGACTTTCCTGTCTCAACTTCCTAGAGTGCTGAAGAGTACAGATATCTGCCACCACACCCAGCTGAGATTTATTCCTACACAGATTGGTGCCTTCCCTGTCCCTTGGCATTGAATTTGGATTCCTGAAAGGTACTTAAACCCAACATGTGCAGCACCAAGTCCCTGCCACTCCTCCTCCTCCTCTTCTAGATGCTCCAGCCAAAACCTGGGATCCTCCTTGACTCTCACATCTGCCCTCAACAAGGGCTCCTGGTGCCACCCTCAAACGTGTCCAGAGTCTGACCCTCTCAGGCTTCATCTGAGATCCTGGGGTTCTGGGCCATCACTCACAAAGCCATCCCTATCTGCTGGCTGGCGTGTGCGTAGTGGCTCTGGGCCTAGTTCCCTCCGTGGGCAGCCTTGGACTGGGCCCAAAACCAGTTGCACCAGTACCTGCCCCCATGGGCCCAAGTGCCAAACACACTTCCTCCTCCCACCTGCTGCCCAGGGTGGGCACAACTGAGAGCCTTTTAGGGGGATGTGACACCCAGGCATTGGCACAGAGGCCGCAATGAGGCAGACCCGCATCCTTAATTTCACTCTAGAAAGCAGAGGAGAGGAAGGCTACAGCTCTTCCCTCAGGCTGTCAGGAGGCCTGGCAGGCTTTGGGCCAGGGTGCTGCTTGAGGGAAGGAATCTGCATGCTGGCCCTAGCTGTGGAGCATCCGGGCCTGAAGACACTTCCTCTGGCCACCTTGCCATGATCAGATCAGGCCCCTATGGCTTCAAAACCAGCTAGAGGTAAGGCAGCAAACTCAGGGCGATGTCTGGGACAGATTCGGAGCTGTCCGCCAGGTCACCTTCAGTAGTACTCTATGCCTGTCCCCCTGCCCTGGGGAATCCAGCTACGAGGGAACTCCAGTGGTCTCTGTCTTAGGTGTAGAGTGGAGACCTCAACTTTACTTTGCACACAGATCCTTGAAGAGCTCCCTTTTGTGGGCCTTGCTGCCCTCACTATTGCTAAGACATTTGGGAGCCCATAGGGGAAAACACTTCCTGAGGAACCCAAGATGGCGAGTCTGGAGGCAACAGCGGTGCCTGCCCCACACAATGGCTCTCCCAAAGCATGGGCTGGGCTCAGACACCAGGAAAGTTCTACACAGAAGCGAGCCCCAGGGCAGCTCACATGGGCCTGGGGAGGTGGGCGGGCCCCTGCTCCAACCATGTCCTGTCCCACTTGGACCATGCAGGATCCTGCCCCTGCCCCATGTCCACAGGCTTCTCTGGCCAGTCAGCAGTGGTGTGGGCACTGGCCCCAGCATAGCCCCACACCCAAACCAGAGGCTGGGGCCTGAGCAAAAGCACAAGCAATGGAAGCCAGCTGTGAGCACACAGGACTTCGGGGGCAGTGGGAATGGGATGCACTGTGAGGTGAGGCCCCTCCGGCCCAAGCGCTCTGGGTCCACAACCAAGCTCTTTTCCCAAGCAGTACACCCAGAGTGGCATGTAGAGATGGCTCCCTCCATACCTCAGCAGGGGGAACGGGGAAGACTGGCCTATGTCCACAGCAGTGGCCATGAGTCTGGGGCCTGTTGGGGCACTGAGCAGGAATTGAGTGAGGCAGGACAGGGCCCCAGATGAGCCCCATATGCAGAGCTGGGGATGAACTCACCTGTGTGAAAGCTCCTAACCGATGCAATTTCAGAGAAGAGGAAAGGAGCACACATGGCTGGCAGAGGACCCGTGGATCCTCTCCTCCTCCTCCCTCCTGTGGACCCCACAGAGCACTCAGAATACCCCCCCACCCCATGATGCCCTCTCTGGGTTAGAGCCACCATTTGAGCCTCCTGGCAGGGCTAGAAAGGAACCACCCCAGTTGAAAGCTCTGAAAAGTGAGGCTGAACAGGAGCAGGGCCCAGTCCGCAGGTGCCCAAGAGCCTCCCTAACACTTGTACCTCGGGCCGCCTGGGCAGTCCTCTCTGGGTCCCTGTTGAAGCTGTCCCAGGGGCTCGGCCCTAGGCTCCAGTGCAGGACTACGGAGCTCCCTGACACCATGCTGAGCCGGGGCCCCGCCCACGTGGCAGGCCGAACCAATCCACTCCACCTGCTGATGGGGAAACTGAGGCCCACAGAAGAGGCGGGCTGGACAGATGAGACGTGCTCAGAGCAACGCAACCACTTAGGACGACTGGCACGGCCCACCCGTTCCTGGTCTGAGTCACTCACCCGCACGCGGTGCTCAGGGTCCCACCGAGGAGGGAGCCGAGGATCATGCCGACACCGAAGCAAAGGCCGAGCCGGCCCAGTGCCGAAGGCCGCTCCTCGGGCTCAGTCAGGTCGGTAATGACCATCTGTGCAGCTGGGGGCGGCAGGGGTCTGAGCGGCCAGACCACTTTGCTGACTCCAGGGCAGACCCAGGCTCAAGCTGAGGCCGGAACGAGGGCCTCACATCGCCTCTCCACCTGGATCTGCCTGCCCCAGCGCCCCTATCTGCCGGCCCCATTCGCCCCTCTAACCCAAAGCCTGTCCCAGCCCACATCCCTTTCCACCCTCAAGAGACAATCCCGAATACTGGTCCCATCCCCGCCCACTACCCTGAGGGTCCTCTCCCAATCTACCTGGCAGCGTGTGCATGAGTGCCGAGGGCAGGCGTGATGCGAATAACAGGATGACCCCGGGCAGGGATGGGCTGCAGGCGGCAGCCAGGATCAGGTAGAAGGCTGAGGCCGCTAGGAAGGACAGTGAGAGTGCTGCCCGCGCACCGCGCTGGTCTGCAAACCTGGGGCCACAGGGCTGGTCAAAAACCTGGAAGTCTGTAGCCAGGGCCCCTCCCCCATGCCCAACCCTGGGGCTGTCCAAGCAGGGCTGATGGGGTAGACAGGTGTGTTGTGGTGTGCGTGAAGCACAGGGCCCCTGCTAGCTTCACAGCCTCCTAGGGCAGACCTCTGGAGGCCTCAATTTCCCCTCCATATCCATGGGGCTGTGCAAGTGTGGCTTTGGTGAGCTGGGGGTTCCCAGCCCAAGGGGCATGGGGACCCCTATGGAAGTAATGGTGGACAGCTAAGGGGACAAATGGGGCTACTATCTCTAGGGAAAACAGTTTCAAGCCTGTGCTGTTCCTCAGCCTCAGACATGATTGGCCACGTTCCCCTGTGGCAGTGAGGCTGGCCACAGGATGTCTGGTCCTGTCTCCAGCCCAGAGTTCCTGCAGCACTCAGATCCTTGAGAGCTCCCTGTAGCATCTCAGACTCGTCTTTGCAGTAAAGCTGGCGGTGGGGGTCCTGGCTCAGTGACCTGGAGGACATGGCCACCCTGCAGTCTTCACCAACTACATCTTCTCTCTGGCCACAAACCACAGTTAGTGGCTCCCGTGGGCTGAGACACCTACAAGGGATCCAATCTCTTTCTGCACCTCACTTGGCTGCCTGAAATGGAGGGGCTGTCACTTCTCGGGGCCCACTGTGAGGTCAGGGAAGCTGGCAGGACCCCAGAGGGGCCCCAGATCATCATGGGTTGAAAGGTACATGATCCCCTTCCCCACTGTACCTGCCAAATAGAGGCCCACCCAGAAGCTGAAGCACCCCAAAGGTGGTCTGCAGGTAGCCAAAGGCAACAGAGTCCAGGCCCAGTCTTCGAGACAGATACTGAAACACATTTGGGAGACAGGGGAAGAGTCTGAGAAAGGTAGGGATAGGAGGGAGCACAGGGCATAGCCTCTGATGTTCATTGGCCAGTCTAGCTTTGGGGGTCAGTTCCATGTAGAAACTCCTCTGTGTCAAGACCCTAGGGATGCAGTGCTCCCAAGAGGCTGCTGACCTCCTCCCCTCTGTAGGACTTGAAAGGCCCCACCCCCTACTATTTCACTTGGTTCACTCAAAGCCTCATGGGGAAGACCATAGCACTGTCCTGGCCAGGAAGAGATTGCATCAGATCACTTAATGATACCCAGGAGGTGGCCCACTGCCAGCAGGATTCAGTCCTTGGCCCCTCCTAGGGGGACACCATCAGGGAGAAACAAGGCCATGACAGTGTCCCTCCACAGGAGGAGGAGTCCCCAGGTCCCCAGGCCCTGATCCTCTCCTGCCCCCCTTCTCTATACCCCTTGACTCTCTCTCCCATGATCCCACCTATTATGGCTGAAGTGTCTCCCCACATTCACACATTGGAGCCCTAACCCTCAGCACCTCAGAATGGTACCTGATTTGGAAACAGTGTCTTCACAGAGGTACTCAGATTAAATGAGGACTCCAGTGTGGGCCCAATCCTGAGTGGCAGCCGTCCTTAGGAGGGGGGTGATAGACACAGACACACAGAGATGACCAGGAAAAGGAGCACAAAGATGAGGTAGAGACTAGAGAGAGGATACCATAAGCCAAGGCATGTCAGGCCTTGCAGGAGGTGGAGGGGGCAGGAAAGACCCTGACCAACACCACCGCCAATGGCCTCACAGAAAACTCAGTCCAGCTGACACCTTCATCTTGGACTTCTGTCTCCAGGACCTTGGGACAATGAACTCCACTGTCCACACTTGCACTTCCCCCGAAGTTGTCTTCAGCACCCCACCCTCTCCTCTCCACCCCTGCCTGGTTCAAACTGCCCTCCAGTGTGGCTGCAGTCCCAGGGATCACTAGGAACCCCTTTTGTCCCCCATCATAGACTCCCTGCCTCCTCCCCTTCAGCTGCTGCCTGCAGACTCCATCAGGAGAGACCTGAATCCTGTGTCCCTGTGTCTGGTCTGTGCCTTGTGGACGTGACACACAGGCATACCAGGCACGCCCCTCCACTTCCTTTCCTCTGATCCTGCTGTACCACACCTTCTCCTCTCTCTCCAATCCCCACCCCCTCCTTCCCTTGCCTGCCCACCCCCAATGCTATGAGGAGCTAAAATCCTGCCTCAAAGCGGCCTACCCAATTGCCCTCCCTGGGACAGCAAATCTCATCCTCTCACCACCCCAGGGCCAGGGCTCCCAGGCTCCTCTCTTGTCTCTTTCCACAGCCCCAACCTGGGAGCTCCCACAATGCAGGCCTGCTGCCCTGTAGCCTGTGGGCAGAGCAGGAGTCCTCTGAGCAGCTACCTGGCCTCTGCCTCCTCCAGCACTTCTCCCTGCCCACTTTCCCTCCTTTGTCACTGCTCACTGGACAGCTGGCTCTGGGGTCAGCTCCAGGGCTGTTCCCACTTCAGTGGCATCTGCCTTGTAGCTCCTCCCTCCTCTGTGATCCTGACTTCCATACTGCCCTGCCCCCACCCCTGCCCCTGTCCCTTACAGCCACCCCTGTGCACTTCTTTTGCTCACTCTGCCTACAAGCTTCCCCTCACACCAGGGAGAGCTCTCCCAGTGGCCATGTCCATACTGTAGAGTCCCAGACCTCAGTCTTCTGCTGCTAGCATGCTCCTCCTCACAGCCCTGAAGCTCACATCTGGCCTACTGTCCTCCCCAGACTGGCTCCTCCCCATCCTTCCCAGGGTCCAGGCCCAAGTCCCCAGGGTCACCTCGCCTTTCTGACATGCTCGCATCCAGTCCATCAGCAGAACAATGGGATTCCAACCAGTTCTCATTTCTCCCAGAGCCGTCACCATGCTGGGGTTCTCGCTTAGCCTTCAGTGGCTGTGGCCAGCTCTGCCTTTAGCGCTTCCTCTCCACCCCAGGACCTTTGCACTAGCTGTGCTTCTTCAGTCTCCTTCAAGCCTTTGCTCTAATGTTGTCTCCTCAGCCAGGTCTTCCTGACCCCCACGCTGCTTCATGTCCACGGGCGCTCAGGTCCCTCAGCCTCCCTACTGTTGGTTTTTCCACTACACGGTCTAACCCTGAATTGTTTTTTTTGTGACAGTCATCACCACTCATGCTGAGCCAAGGACACACATGCTCGCCTAATCCTCCCTGTACCAGTGCTGCAAGTGAGGGAGGCATAGGCACCACTCTTATGCCAAGGAAGCCCAACTGCCATCTGGGCTCTAAGGTCACGTACAGGGATCGAGCTGGGCTTGGGAGGTGCAGTGGAGAGAGGCCCACAGCTCGGCCCCTTGACCATGCCCACTCACTCAGCTTCCCAGGTCTGGGGAGAAGCCAGGCTCTGGGCCTGGGTGGGCTTTGCAAAGCCAAGGCTGGAGGAGGCCCCAGACACCTTTTTTTAAAAATTTATTTTTATATATTTGGTACAGGGTTTCACCACTCAGCTCAGACTCATAGTGATCTTCCTGTTTCAGCCTCCCCAGCCCTGGGATTACAGGGGTATACCACCACACTTGGTTTCAGTGGCCAGCACAGTGCACCTGGGGCGGGGCTGGTACATCATGCAGAACCGGGATTCGATCCTCAGTCCTTGCACTTGCCAGTCAGGTGCTTAAACTGCCAAGCTATCTCTCTGTTTCGGAGGTCTCAGACTCACTGGGCCTACTTCTTCTCAGTGTGTGACTTTGTTTCCAAGTATCCATGGCCTTGACTTCTGGGGGGTAGGTGCAAGGGAGAAACTGGCCTCACTCAGGGCCACTGTATGCCTTGGCATCTGGGTTCTTCCCAGCTTTGCCTAATGTCCGCCCTGGGAGGTCAAGGCACAGTGGGCTCCAAGTCCAGCATAGATCATGTCAAGCCTGGACCTAGGGAATCTCCAGAGAAACTTTTAGAGGTGACCTGCCCTATAGCTGGGCATGGTGATAAATGCTTGTAATCCAAGCTACTGCAGAGGCTGAGGCAGGAGGACCAAGTTTAAGGCCAAATTGGGAAACTAAGGGAGAGATGCTGTCTCAATAACAGTAGTGACCTGTGGTCCATAGCTTCACCAAGACTAGACAGAAAAGAACCTTGGGGTGGGACAGGCTCTGGATTCTTCCAGGCTTCTCTGGGGGCTGTCCATGGAAGCTGAGACCCTGTGTGCCAGTTCTAAAGAGGTTTATTGAATGAATGAATGAATGAATGAGAATAGAAATGGAGACTACACAGAAGGTGGATGGGGTCCAGAACCTAACAATAATGACTTAATGACCTGCTGGAAGCCGAGCTAAGTCCAAAGATCTACTTGGCCCAAGTCCCTGCCCTTACATTCTGGTGGGGAGAGAGGAACTCACTACACAGTTTAGGCTGGGCTTGAACTCACTATATAACCCAGGCTGGCCTTGAACTCCCAGCGATCCACCTGCCTCCACTTTCCAAGTGCTGGGACTATAGGTGCACACCACCATGCCCAGCCAGGAGAGAGAAACCTACTAAGTGTGGACATGCGAAATAGGATATATAGGTAAACAGGACAGGGCAACAGAGGAAATATGAAGCAGAGCGAGGTGTAGGTAAGTGATACTAAGGTTCCAGAAATGCTTTTGGAAGGGGAGACCTGCTCAGAGGCCCATGTATGGCCAGGCCATGAGCTGCACAGGTGTCCAGCAGAGGATCAATAGGGCAAAGGCCACGTCAGGCAGAAAGAACAGCCCAAGACTGCCATGTGGAGGCTGCTGCTGCTCCAGGAGGCTGTGCGCAGTTCCCTGAGGCTGCTCCTGGGGTGTTGGGCAGCCAGAGTAGGGGTGTGTGCCAAGGGTTGCCAAGCACAGTACCCAGAGCCCTTAATTTACTCAGTTTAAGTAGGGCCTGCGGTTCCCAGCAGGAAGGTCCTCGCTCCCTCAAGCCTTCACCCTTGCTCTCTGCTACAGACGAGATGGAAAGTTGGAAAGACATGAAGGCCACTGGCCCGGGCCACGGGGTTACTCACCGGCAGGATGGAGAACTGCATGAAGAGGCAGGTGAGCTCCAGGGTGGACAGCAGGTAGGTGAGCAGGATGGTACCAGGCCGGCCCAGAGCACCCACTGTGTTGGGGCACTGGCGGGCCCCACGGGCCGCAGCTCCCTGCATTCTGGGTGAGCTCTGGAGAGAGGCCAAGGAGGAACAGAGAGGCTGGGGAGGAACAGATCCGACTGGGAGGCTGGTAGAGTCTTGGGAGCAGGCAAGGGGCAAAAGTCCTGTTGATCTGAGCAAGGGTGCTGAGTCACTAGGCTAGAGGCGGGCAGCACTGCGGGAGGACTGAGGGAGAGATAATGCTCAGGGCCAGACCTGGATTAGCTCTCCAGCACGCAGAGCCTGGAGAACGGGTCCACAGCCCTCTCCCAGTATCTGACCAGTCCTGGTCTCCCCACACAGCCTCCAGAGGGAGAGACAGGGATCCCCCACCCCCCAAGTGGAAACAAGCTTGGTCTGCAGATGTCCTACACAGGAAGAAACCCAGGCCCAGAGAGGCTGCCGTTTCAGGTGGTGCCTTCTAGGGACCCAGGACTGGTTGGTGCACCGCGCAGTTGGCCTTTTTAGTACTACTGCAATTTCCTTCTCCTGGGGTCCGCAGCCAGAGCGCTGGGGCCTCTACTACTGCTAGGTTGAGGATAGGGAGACACAGTGTAGCCTTTCAGACCGCCCACCCACCCCGGGGTGGCTCTGTCTCACTTTCTAGGACAAGGTGCTGCCCAACCCCCTTGTCTCCCACAACCAGCGGCAACCAGATTTTGCAGCTGCGTTGAGGTGGCGCACGTTTTGACAGTAGACACTTGACTCCACAGCCAGGACGGCTGGAGCAGGGCGGGGCACAGAGAGTCCAGAGAGCTCGTCTGGCACCCTGCCCATTCTCCGGGCACGGCACGGCGGTGCTGGAAGCACCCACACACCCCTGGGGGCAACCCGCTGGGCCAAGGCCCGACGCAGTGGGAGTTTAGGACCCAGGGCTGGCTGCATCTGGGTGAGCTCTAGTACCTGTCTTCACTGGGCCGACGACGTGGGCTCTGCCTGTGGTGGGGTGAGCCCTGCAGGCGACTAGGACATCTGCCCTTCCGGGGTGAGCCCTAGTCCTGCCCTTTTGGGAGTGACTCAGGATGGACCCGCCCTGCTCCCCGCTGGCCCCGCCCCCGGCTGGCCTTGCCAGCTTCTCGCCCTCTAGTTTTGGCAGCAGCGTAGCCCTGATCTCTGCGCACTCATAGGCTAAACCTGGCATGACCTCGAAAGGTTTTGCCACCTCTCCACCCACTGTCCTCCGGTTGCGGAGGCCTCCCGCAGACGCCTGGCTCCTGCAGCCTGGTTTGTTGGCGTTATGTGTCTTGCACCTTCTCTACTGTCCTGGGTGGACAGAGATTCTGACACCTTCATCAGCACAAGGTGTCCTTTTGGAGAGGGGTGGGGGAAGGAGGGACGGAGGTGGAGCATGCGACCCAGAGGAAGAAACAGAGGGGAAACAAGGAGAGGGAAGGAGACCTTGGTCTCACCTGGTCCCTCCCAAGGTCCTGCACTGCTCAGTAGAGGGACAGGGAGACAGAAGCATTTCCAGGAACAGTACTGCTGGGCGCCTCTCCAGGTCCCTCCACAGATCACGAGGCTGCTGAGGGCTACCTGGTTAGCTTTGTCCAATGTCACCCTGCTGCTGTGTCCCCACACCCTTGTCTGGGACCTCTGGAGAGGTATGGAACACACAGGTACATAAGGCCTTGTGCCACCTCCACTCCAGCCCTGCTGGAGCCTGTGGGAGCACACGTGGCCCTGGGGCCAGTTGGCCCAGGCTCTGCACCCTTCTCAGTGTTCTCCAGATAGTTGACTGTTGCCAGGTAACCAGATGCTCATTGAGGACATGGCCCCACCCTCCTGGCAATGACCAGGCCAAATGTCAGGACCAGTGTCTCTGTTCCATGTCTTAATTTCAGCTCAACAGCAGAAAGCTGCAGAAGCAGTGAAAGCAGGACACAGAACTGCAGTCTGGGGTAGATCCAGGTGCCATTTGATGGCCTCAGGAATGTCTGCTCACGGGTGCAGGCACCCTTTGAAGGAGGTTCCAGGGCAAACAGTGCAAGCACTTATTCTACTGAGCTATCTCCCCAGCCCCAAACAGTGCAAATGGGGAAATGTGTTTGCATATGAGGAGGGTGGGCCCCCAGCTCAGAGCCCCTCCTCGCCCAGATGTGAGGAGGATGAGTCCAACCAGGGCCCAGAGCCAGGGCAGGCCCAGCCGGGGGTCTGGGAAGGTTGCACAAAAGGGCCGGCCTGGGAAGGGAAGAGACTGGGGGATGAGAATCTCAAGATGTCTCCCATTCAAGACCCCTGAGGGAGGATGGGAGTCCTAGATGGTTCTGTGCTCCAGGTAGGGGTGAGGGGTTGTCTTCAAGAAGTTCTGAACGCCCCAGAACCGACTGGTCAGGTTCCCTGGCTGCCACTCCCCAGCCTGGCCAGAGGTTAGACTGTCCCTGGCTCCTGGGGCTCCTGGGTAGGGCTTGGAGGGTGAAGGGACGGAAAGGGGTTGGGTGAGCATCTGAAAATGCCCAAACCCTGGCAGAGGTGGTCTGGGGTCCTCTGGATTCCTGGGGTGGGTGGAAGGGGTTACTTACCACGCTCTTCCTCTGGTGCCAAGTGAGGGTTGTGGTGGCAGGGAACTGGTTGGGCAGAAGAAATCCTAGCTTTTGTTTTTGTCCTGAATGGATCAGTAGGGGTGGGGAAACTTCCTGGTTGCGAGGGAATGTGGGAAATTTGCTCTTCAGGCCAGAAGAAGAAAAAAAAGCACCGAGAACCCTAGACCCTTAGATTTCCTTTTCTAGAGGAAGCAGCTTTGGCTATGGGCCAGCAGGACCAGCCACTCACTTGGCCACTCAACAAACCTCTGCCCTTGCCCAGGTGAAGCACCATGTTTGTTCTGCTGAGGAGACTGGTACAGGCTGATCACAGGAAGAAGCTTAGTCTAGGCATGGGTGTTCAGGAAACTGGGAACAGGGGCAGGACTGAGGCATGAGGTGTGGGGGTGGGGTGGGGGCAGAAATCAGTGTGGTGCAGGTAGCTCCCATGGGGCTGGAACAGGAGGATGGGGCCAGGTGTCCTTGTATCTCTTTGGCTGCTGCATGCTGGCGCTAGGTTCTGAGCACATCCAGGGGAGGGGAGCCCTGCCAACACCTCCAGGATAGATGGCCATGGCTGTAAAGCAGGAGACTTGGAGTACCCTCTACTGTGTGCAAGTCCTGTCCTAGGTGCTGAACCACCCTCTCCTGGCATGTCACAGCATGTGTGTAGGGGAGAAGTGACACACCTGTGGTGCCTGTGAACCTGACACACAGCGGGCATACTGATGGGTGAGCTCTCTAATGGTGAGAGTTACAGTTGGGAGCACTCCAATTGTGAGTGCACACTGAGTGTGAAAGCTGTGTGCACTGTGAGTCTGACCTGCCTTGTGTTCCAGTGGGAGCTTCATGCAGATATACTGACGCAACTGACGGGTGGTACATGCAGGCATGCTTCTGCCAGGGTCCCAGTGGGGAGGGGACATGGCCTTGGGTGCAGAGGTGTTATGGTTTGTGTGTAGTTGTCCCCCCAAAGCCTCATGCAGTCATGGGGTAGGCTTTCAGTTTGTGATTCATTCAAGATCCAATGCTGGCACTATGGGTAAGCGATACTGGGATTATGCGTGTGAGTGCTACACCCACCCTGGGGCAGAAAGTCTGAATGCAATATAAGGAAAGGAGAGAGGCTTGGTCCCTTCCCCTGCACCTCAACTGTGTTGTGGCTGCTCCTTCCTTTTTACTCTTGCTGTTCTTGCTGTCTTCCGTCACCATGACCTGCTGCCCTCTGCCTTGTGCCACCCTACCTTGGAGCCAGCCGAGTATGGCCTGAAACCTTCATGAACTGTGAGCTAAATAAATCTTTCCCTCCTTAATTCTGGTGTCAGGTACTTTGTCTCAGCAATGGGTGAAAAATAACTGAGACAGAATTTGGTACTGAGAAGTGGGGTGGTCGCTGGCCTGACCATATTGTTCAAGAGCTTTGGGGAATGGCTTGTGGAGTTTGGAAAGGTTCAGCGATGTCACCTGAAAGAGTAGTGCTGGAATGCCTTAGGGTGCTTTGTATGGGAGATTCAGATCAGAATTTTAAAAACCAGAAGGATGATAGAAATCTTGCCAGTAAGGACTAGATTGGGGCTGGGGGAGGTTACTGCTGGGAAGAAGGTTGGTTGTTGGACTCCAGATGATGTGTGTTATGGTTTAGTAGAAAATTTCCCTGCATTTTACTCATGCCCAGAGACTTTGTCTGAGACTAATTAATTAATTAGTTAATTAATCTGGCCAAAGACATTTTAAAACAGTCTAATGTGGAGGTGATGGCGTGGTTGGGGGCTTTTAGCCAGATCTGTGTTGAGAATCAAAATCACAGAGACCAGCAGAATGATTTAAGATATGAGTTTGGTCAGAAAGGACGCTCCATAATGCTATGGACTACAAAGACGGAGCTGAGGAGATCTCCACTGATGAAAAGGAACAGGAACATAGGAAAGAGGGCCCGAGGGCATGAGAGGAAGCAGCAAGTCCCTCAGAACTGCAAAAATGAAAGGCTGCTTGGAGGAGAAAGCTGCAGAGTACCATGTTCCAGATGGTTGCTGTCACAGTATGGCCCAGAATGGTGGTGCCACAGAGAATTTGTTCCTCAGTGTCATGTTCAGAGAGCTCAGTGATCCAGGCACTTGACCCCTACAGCCAAGAGAAAAGGAAGCCTGGATATTGTTCTAGCTGGCAGTGAACCTTGGCATCATTCATGTCGTACTGGTTTTGGGTGCAGAATGTAAGAGTTTTAGGACAAAAGGTCTTTCTCCCAGATTTCAGGTTAGGGAGGCCAGGCAGTGTGCCCCTGAGAGGGCAGTATGTGAAGCTGTGAATGAGGAGCCCAACATGCTGGAGAGACCCCAGAAGTTTGGGAAAACAAGGAATGTAGATTGTCTAAGGAAAGCCAAAAGGAAGAAGCAAAACAGGCCTAAGAGAGAAGCCATGGGAGCTACAACTATGAGAAGTGCCATAGAGTTCCACAAACCTCACAATTTGCCACAGATTACCTTGGATGTTGCATGTGGAACTGTAGGAAGTAGTGTTTGCCTTGCTGGATTCTGAACTTGTTTTGGTTCCAATGCTTTCTGTGGTGGATCAACAGCGGATACTCAACTTGAACTGAACCAGCATGGTGCTGGGTGTGGGAGGCCCCCCTGAGGATTGTTGCTGGCAGCCTAAGGGGCAGAACTGGAGAGGGAGAGGTTTGGGAGCTGTTGGAGCTGTTGGTCTTCCTAGGGCTGCTGTTGGTTCTGTTGGAGGACCTTGTCATGCTGGCTTTCCTGAAGAACTCAGCTGTTCTCATTGTCCAAGGAGCTTGGGACCCTGTTGTCACTGAGAATGGCTACAGTTCACTTCAGGGGAGCTTTGGCCTTCAACATTGTTTTCTGGCTCTGGAGGGGAAGATGCTATACTTCTCAGTGTCCTGGAGAAACTTGTTATGCTAGTTTTCCTGCTGTAGAAGCGGCTGTTCTTATCATCAGAGGAGGTTTTGCTGTCTCTGAAGATAGCTGTGGCTAGCTTTCTGGGGAGATCTGCTTCTTACTTTGAGGGTTGCTTCCTGGCTACAGTGCAGACCCCTCAGCCTGTTGGCACAGATCCTTCGGCCTGCTGGCACAGACTTTCTAGCTTCCATCACTGACCTTTGGGCCTTTTCAGAGCAAATCTAGGAAACAGGCATTCATGAAACATTGTTGGGGGTCGTTGGTCTCCAGTTGGACGTGTAGAGGGCATTGTGAGAAGCTCTGGTTCTTCAGCTGAATTCATGCGAGGCATAGCCATGGGATCTAAGCCGTCAGCTGGATTCTTTGGTCTTAGTGTGTGGCAGATTTCCTGCACCTTTTTTTTAGGAACTGGGGATTGAACTCAGGCCCTTGTGCTTGCCAGGGAAGTGCTTATTCCACTGAGCCATCTCCCCAGACCCTCTTACTTTGTATATAACTCTTTGGGTGACTGATATAAAATAATCTTATAAATTATGTGTCCTATGTTGTGACCCTTGCAAAG